TGGGGGGATGCTGGCGGGGGCCCAGGTGGGGTGGTTCTTGGCAGGATGTGAAAGCAAGGACCCCCGCCTTTGGGGCACCGAGGCTTCTGGATGGAGGGGAGGTGGGGAGTGACCACTGGCCCACACCACTGGGGCCCTCCCACGCCCCACAAAGCGAAGGGCGTGGGGTCGTGGGAGACCTTCCCCCTTCCACCTTTTCACCCCCGCTCCAAAATGAGTAACTGGGTTGCCACACATCAACAATGAAGATAAAGCTGTGGTTTTGTTTAAGTTCCGTTCTAGAAACAGGCAAGAGCTGGGGGAGGGGGAGGTGTCCAGGAAGGGGTGATGTGCTTTGCAGCAGAGGCTTCCTTTGGGTCTAGTTTCTGGGCTTAGGACTGGCCTGAGCTGCAGGGGAGGAGTCCTCACACTCCACACGGCTGGCTGGCTGGCTGGCAGGCAGGGCTGGCCGGCCGCTGGAGGGTGAGCGGCTACTTCCTGTCCTACAAAGTGTGAAGTGTAATTTGATTTGAAATCCGTGAGTGGCCCTCTCAGTCACCACCCTCTAACCTCCCTGATGATGACTGAGGCTGGGCCATTTATATGCAGTGTTTTCATCTTGAGATGGGCAGCAAGTCCCTTGTGACGATGTGACAGGGAAAAGTGGATTTGAGAAGAGGGGTAGAGATCTTGTTTTGAGTCACTCCAGAAAGGGACATAACTTGTCACCTGCCCCCTCTGGGTCCCTGGTGGCGGACAGCCCCGTGTTCACACTGCGTGGATGCTGCCCCTGAGGAGGGCCAGAGTACTGGCCAGCTGACCCCATTCTGACTTCCCCTGCACATGAGAAAGGGACCCCAACCCTCTCCTCCAGTGTGGTAACCTCAGCTCTTGCCACCTCAGCCTCATTGCCCACCTCTGATAATCATTCTCTCTCCCTCCCCATGATCCAGCCGTGAACCCAGACCTTGACTCTGTGTGTTGATGAATACGATCAATGAACGCCAGAGGTAACGAATGCAGAGATAAAGGCGGTCAAGCACTTGTCATTAAACAGACTCTGACTCCTGTTGGCCCCACGTGTCAGGCTGCCCCTCCCTGCTCGGGAAGGTTTCAGGGCCTGGTTTTTCCAAGTAGATTGCTAGGCCTTTCTTCCAAGTTCTTGGGTTGGGATCCACCAACCTAGGGATTTTCTGGAGCCTCCAAAATGCCCGAGTGTGTTTCCTGTATAGCCTGTGCTTCTCTGGGGAGCACGTCCTTAGCTCCCACCAGCTTTTGGAAGAGGTTGGTAACAGCACCAAAGCCTGGGCCTCCGGACCGGACTGTGTCTGTCTGGACTATCCTGACAAGTCATTTTGTGAATGGGTGGCCCTGTGGTAAGAAGTTGCATTATTAAGTGTTAAGTGCCGTCGAGTCGTAGGCGACTCATAGCGAACCTATGAACAGAAGTCCTGGACACCTGTATAAATTTCATCCTCTCTCCAGGTTCATAGGGTTTCCGGAGGCAAGCTGTTTCAGAAGTGGACGCCACTCCTGCTTTCAAGCTTGTTTTAATTGAGGAGCTCCATCAAACACTGTCCACTGTGGGTAACCATTATTGCATTTGACATATCAGTGTCACGGTGTTCAGCTTCACAGCCACCACGAGTTACTTCTGTACAGCAAATGGACACACCAGGGTTATACGACCTAGAAGAATGTTTGACCAAAAACAATTAAAGACAGGCCTGAGGGCAGCGGACTAAAGTCACCCACCTTTGGCTTGGTAGCATCACTTTCTGTCCGTAGGCCAACTGGTCTCTCTGTTGTTGTTGTTGTTGAGTGCCGTGGAGTCATAGCGACCCTATGAATGAAAGTCCTCAACACTTGTGTGACTTTCATCCTTTCTGATTTAAAAGCCGACAGTTCGAATCCACCAGCTGCTCTATGGGTGAAAGGGCGGGCAGTGCCCAGCCTCTGAAAACCCGCTAGAGGTTCCAGCTGAGCAGCGTCCCCGATGGATGGACTTCCTGTTGCTCTGCACTGTTTTCATTCATACGATCTCAGCGCTGTGATGTCTTTGTTTGTGTATTGCTCCATAGCAGGTGTTCAAGGAGCGCTGGTGGTGCTGTGGTTAAAACACTGGACGGCTAACTGGAAGGTCCCCAGTTCAAACTCACCAGCTGCTTAAAGGTAGAAAGATGAGGCTGAGGGCAGCCTGCGAACACTAAGGGGGCGTTCTGCCTGTGGATTGGCAGGTGCCTGATACATATTTACCGCGGGAGGTGAAGGTGTAGATCGTATGGCTTCTTTTTTTTAAAAAATTTATTATTAATTTCAATGAAAATTTACAGAGACTTTGGATTTCCATTCATTCATTGCTGCACTTTTCTCCCTGCCCAACTGTCCCCCCGACCCAGGGCACTCTTCTCTTTGAAAAGTAAAAGAAAAATTCTTTCGTTGTTTCATAATCCCTCCCCCCAGGTTGACTCCACTATGCAGTCTTCGCTCTGGACTCCTGTCATGACAAAAATAGCCAATCACACATCTCTTTTAAACAGTTTTCTCCCTCGTCTGTTTCAGTGCAGTATACATTATTTATCCCGTCTTTCTCAGTCTTACCCCAACCCTGATGTCAGTCCTGTTTTACAACAGTGGCACCATGCAGTATTTGTCCTTTTGTGACTGAGATATTTCACTCAATATGATGTCCTCCAGGGTCACCCATGTTGAATAATATTGCATGAGTGCCTTATTTTTCAATGCAGTGTAGTATTCCATTGTGTGAATATACCACAGCTTCTCTGTCCATTTATTTGTTGATGGGCACTTGGGTTGTTTCCAACTCCTTGCTATTGTGAACAAAGCTGCGATAAACATGGGTGTGCATATATCTGCTTGGATGTCAGTTATGGTCTCTTTGGGGTATATTCCCAGTAGTGGAATTGCTGGGTCAAATGGTATCTCTATTTGCAACTTTTTGAGAAAGCACCACACCACCTTCCACAGTGGTTGCACCATTTCACATTGCCACCAAGAGTGAATAAGGGTTCCAGTTTCTCCACAACATAGCCAGCATTTGTTGCTTGCTGTTCTGTTAAGTTTTGCTGTTCTGACTGGGGTGAGATGATATCTCAGAGTTGTTTTGGTATGGCTTCTTGTCTACCGGAATCTGTGGGTCTTTCTCTACCTCTGTCATTTGTTATAAACAACAGCCCACTGCTGTCACGTTCATTCCAAATCACGCTGACCTTGCATCTGGTACATTTATCTTTCTCTTTTTAATCCACCCCTGCCCCACCCCTGTTCACTTTTCTATGCACCTGTTATTCTGGGCTGTTGTCATGCAGACAATACCTAATCATATGTTCCTTTTAAACCGTTCTTTGCCTCATCCGTTTCAATACAGCATTCATTATTTATCCCTTCGCGGCTGTAAATCTAATGTATAAGATGAGGCTATCTCGTGTCTCTCTCTCTCTCTCCTATAGAACAACTGGTGGATTCAAACTACCCGTCTTGTGGCTAGCAGTCCAGCATGTAACGCTCTGTGCCACCAGGGCTCCCACAGCTCATGTCTTTCCTCCAAGGTCTCCCCTACTCTGTGGACATGTCTGTTTCTTCCAGCTTCATTGACTCCCATTCTCTGTTCTTGGCATCTCCTGCCGTTGATAGCATGTCCCTCCACCTGGCTGTTTGCTTGTACCAAACATGGGGAGACCTTTCTGAGGCTCTCCCACGATTTTGTCTAGGGCAACACTTCGGAGTGGAGCTCTGGGATGGGGACCTGTGCAGGGGTCCATCTCCCAGTGCTGCCAGCGGGAATACCAGCAGCCTGGGGCTGCCCTGCCTCCTCGAGCCAGTGAGGACCCTTGGTGCAGAGGGCACCTGAAGGTTGCTGAGCTCCCTGGGTGCTGATCTTATGGGAGAAAGACCAGCAGGCACAGCACTTAAAGCACTGAGCTATTAACTAAAAGGTTGGTGGTTGGAATCCCCAGTCTGCATCTCTTAATTTGATGGCCTTGGAAGCCCTGGGGCCTGGTCTCCCCTGTCCTGTAGTCACTAAGCCACAGCTGACAAGAGGATGACTCTTAACTTCATGGTTGACACAGTGCTGCACAGTGGACGGGCTGGGCAGGGCTTCCTTCTGTTCTGCAGACTCACGTTCACTGTTGCTCCCCAAAGGGCACCCTCACCTCTACTAAGGGACCCCTGGCTGAGCCACAGCTCTTGCCCAGCCAGGCTCAGCTGGAAGGTCCCTTCTCAGAGAGACTTGAGGGGGTTACAGTGCTGGCGTGCCCTTTCCAGCCTGGGCGCCAGGACCTGGCAGAGCTGCCTGAAGGCGGGGCGGGGTCCCCTGGCCCCTGCTCTGCTCCACATCCCTGAATCATGTGACATGTGACAGGGCTGCTGTCTGGGTCCTGCTACTATGTAAGTGGTCTTGGTTCCCATCAGCTTTCCACGATTCTTCAGAACCTGGAGTGAAAGGCACTGTGTTCAAATGCACCTAGTGCCTCAGCTTCCCCGTCTGTGAGTTGGGGGTGCTAAGTGTCTGCTTCCCACGGGCATCGTGATGTTGCACAGTTAGGGCACATGCAGCGTTTAGGACAGAGCCTGCCAGCCGGGAGCTCCTGCAGCGCTGGGCCATGGCAGTCAGCATCAGCCCTCCACTTGGGCGTCGTTCATTCATTCATTCATTCAGTGGGTGTGGGCTTACCAGGGTGCAGTGGGGCTCACGGGCCTCCTCGTTATCAAAAACACATGTTCGTTATTCTCCGGCCAAGGTGAAGTACAGTGAAGCTGGGTGTGCGCTCTGAAGGGAGTGATGAGGGCAGCTCACCTGGTTCTCAAGTGAGACTCCTCAGGGCGCGGTTCTCAAGTCTCTGAAGGAAGGAGCACAGCTCAGCCACTTTGTCCCTCACCACCACCTGTGTTGGGGCCACACCTGCCTTTCCATTCCCTTTTGCAAGGAACTGTGAACATTAGGTGGTTACATCCCCACGTCCCCACCAGCCGGCATGAGATGCTTTCTTTCTGTGTAGGAGCCCAGGGTTTGAGTCCCACCTTGAACCTTACTTATAACCAGCTGTCAGTGGAGGCTTGCTTTGTTGCTATGATGTTGAGAAAGTTTCAGAGGAACGTTGAGCCTAGGGTGGACTAGGAAGAAAGTCCTGGCAATCTATTTCTGAAAATTAGCCAATGAAAATCCCATGGAGCCTGTGGCTCTGATCTCAGGGGTGGTGTGGGATGGGGCAGGGTTTGCTCTGACTTGATTGTACCCAAGAACAGCAGCTATTGGTCCCCACCACCAGCTGACGGGGCAGGTTCTCCAGGGAGCCCACACGTGGGCGTGGGGAGCTGCAGGGATACTGTCCTGGAAGGGTGCAGCCTCAGTCCTCAGGATGGCTTTGTACGTACGGATCCTGGCCTCGGCAGAGCCCACGAGCAGCCTCTGCATGCTTCATGGACTCCTGGCACCCTGGGGACCCAGGACAGAAGGCACAGTGAGCCTGGCAACCAGGGATGTTCTGTGCATCCTGGCATCTGCTTGGACCTGCTCTATGACTCCCCAAGTCCCCCAGGACAACAATGTCCATGGGCAGTTTGCTCTGTGCTTGGTCCCTGTGGGATGTGATGGAAGGGACAGTGCTCGTGGACACTGTCATTGGTGCCCAAGGTTTAAGAGCTGGACGTGGGAAGGACTGAGTGAGAGCAGACTTTGGCCTGGGGGGGCGGCTGACTCCACACCCTATGCTGCCTGTGAGCTGGGAAACCACAGGGGGCCTCTGCCCATGGCGCTCCCCACAGAGCCATCCCTGCCTTTGGCCACTGAGGCTGTCCAACGAGAGCAGGACTTAGCTGGCATTTCTGGGTGCAGGTGGCGGATCATGCTTCTGAGTCAGGACTTAGAAGCTGTAATGATGAGCCCCCCTTTCCCCTGGGCTAGGTTGTCTGGAGCTCTAATGGGGTGTGAGCCCCCCTGACTTGAGAGGTCAGCTCCACCCATGTCCTGGCCCCATGTAGCCCACAGTTCCCCATGAGCCACAGAAGGCCATCTGATTCTGTTGTCCTAGGCATGGCAGACCTGGGCTGGATGGCATGTGGGTCACCTGGTGCACAGGTCCCTGTGTCTCTGGCTCAGGCAGCACTGTGACATCCCTGTGTCAGGCAGCATGGCGACATCCCTGCAGACATTTGGGTGACAAGCAGGAAATGGGGCTGGGTGGGGCTCTCTGCCCTTTCTTCCTCTTTAGACTCCACTATAGCTCTTGATCCCAGACTTGTGGGGACCAGGCCTCCCCCACTTTGTGCCACCGGAAGTGAGATCCTGCTCAAGGCAGCAGAGGCCAGATTAAGGAAGGGCCTGGATTTGAACCTACAGGTCAGAGCTGGCACACACTCTTCCATGAACACCTGTTGCTTCCTGGTGGTCTTTGGTGCAAAGACCATCAGGGTTTGCTGTGGTTCTGGTCCGTCGGGCAGTGGTCCTGAAGTCTCCCCCAGGGTGGATGAGAGGAAGGGACCCTGTGGTGCTCTCTGTACAGTGGAAGTTCCATGAGGGTGAGGGTGCCTGTGGGGAGGGCTTCCAGAGCCCCCCTCACTGTGCACTGGCCAAAGTCTGGGCTGGGGTCGACCTGGGCTTGTACGGCTTCCTCTCAGCCTGGCCAGAGCACTCAGGGTGACTGACTGGGCTGTGTCTGCAGTGGGGGAAGGAGCAGCTGGTCCCCTACCTGGGGACCCCCTACAGGAGCTGCACCTCCCCATCCTGCTCAGAAGGGCCAGGTGTGGTGCTGGGGCCCCAGTCCATCCTGGGGAAATGGCTTTTGGGCTGTTGACAGATGGAAGTGATTTGAGGTCACGTGGGGCAGGCGGAAGTGTTGTTCCCCAGCCAGGCCCCTCATAGGTCTCCAGGAAGCTGCAGTCTGAGCTGACTATTTCTTTAAGGAGCCTGGGGGAGAGGCTTCTGGACAGGAGCCCCTCATCCTGCCCTGGTAGTAGCCTAGGGAGGAGCCTGGGGGGCTGGCCCCAGTGAAGGAAACCCACTGTGTCCTCTACCTGCCTTCTGTCAGCCCCTTGGCAATCTCTGGCGTTTTTTATACACATCCTTTCCTCTTGCTTCCAGTTCTATGAAGAGGTAATTTTCCCCTGTGCAGGTGGTGTATGTAGTGCTTAAAGTGTCAGGCTGATAACCTACGGTTTGCAGTTCAAATCTAGCAGCTTCTTTGTTGGAGAACGTTGAGCATCTCTTGCAGAAAATACCTACAGCTCTGGAACCCCATGGGGGGCTCTATGAATTGGACTTGATCCCCAGAACCCTTGGGGAGGGCGGTTCTGTGGATTGGACTTGACCCGATGGCCGCAGGGTGTTTTGGTTTGTGGTTCAGGTGTCCTAAGGAGCCCTGGTGGCATTAGCAGGTTATGTGTTGGGGGAAGTGGTAACCGTAAGTTTGGTAGTTCAAAACCCATCAGCGGCTGCTCCATGGGAGAAAAGTGGCCACACAGCCTTGGAAACTCGGCGGGGGATTGCTGCATTGAACACCCCTTAATTGCAATGAGTTTGGTTTCATTTTTGTTGAGATTGTAGAACAAAAGGTTTGTGCTAGTTAAGCTAAAGGTCAGTGGTTCAAGCCCACCCTAAAGCGCTGCAGATTCAAGTCCCGTTAGGTGTGGCTTTTGTTGTTTGAGGCCAAAGCAAGAAGGAAATAAAGTGCGTAGATTCAGAAATGAAGCACCCGGTGAGAGAGCGCTCAGCCCAGCCCCCCACGTTCTGGGTTTGAGGACAGGAAGCAGAGGCCTCGCTTTCAATGCAGCACAGCCGGTGGGTTCAAACCGCTGACCGTTTAGTTAGCAGCCAAGTGCTCTAACACGTGCTGCGGGCTCTCCTGAAAAGCTGTAAAGTGGGTGCAGACTCACAGCGACTCCAGGAGGCCATCGTGGAGCTGACCGCCTAAGGTTGCCAGGCCTTTCTTTCTGGGGACACTTAAGCTCCAGCTGAACGTGGTAAAAAGTTTTTGCATCACCCAGCCCAGGGGTCAGGGGAGGGGAGAAGATGAGTGGCTGGTGGTCGATGGCCTGGCCCCCCTGAGGGCACAGTTGAGATGGGAGGAGGCGGGGAGCCAGGAGGGACACAGCGCCGGTGGGTAAGTCAGCCACACTTCCTGTTTGGTTATTTCCTGAGGAAGTGGAAAAATCGTTTATCTGGGACCCCTAAAGTGACCCTCTGACCTGACCCCTGTCACCCAGCTGCTTCCTAGGGCAGGGTGCAGGGGGGTGGCTGGGGGTGGCTTGTTTTGTTTGAAAAGGCCATCTCAGCACCATGGCTGGTGGGGATACGAGTCCCCCCACCACCCTCAGCCCACATCCGGGAGCGGGAGGCACCCTGCCTACGGCCCCTGCTCTACTAGGGGTGTGTTTGCAGATGCTCTGTGAGAGGAAGGTGCCTCCTGCCCACTGCCCCCTCCTGGCCTGAGGTCCAGGGGCCCCCACATTCCCACCCAGGAGCTGACAGGAATAGTTCATTGGACACCCGCTGGCCCCTTCCTTGACCTCAAAGTGCCCCCGCGAGATAGAACGGTAAGGCTGGCCCTGCCCAGGACAGGAAAGGACAGAGTCCTTCTTAGTGGGGGGTTAGGGCTAAGCTAGACCCCCCCAAAGCTGTCGAGGATCTGGGTCCACCTCAGAGAGGCGAGGGGGCTCAGCACCATGTCCTCTTCTGAGTGTCTGTCCTGGCTGTTGGGGCATGGGGCCAGCATGTACCCCAGTGAGTGGGGACCAGGCCTCTCCTGAGTGTGTTTGAGCAGCCCCTGATGGCAGGGGCCCGTCTGAGTGTCCGCCTGCAGGCTGTGTCTCAGGATTGGGATTTTTCAGTGTAGTGAGAGGAGATCCGAGAAAAGAACGCTTGTGTCCCCCTCCCACACACACACCATGGCCACTTGTTTTCACGTGTTCAGCCTGACCACCGAGGCCTGCAAAGCCTCGCCTGGCCTTGGGGTGGGGGCCCACGGGTGCTGGGGGCTGCCACGACGCCCCAGTCTCATCCCACCCCAGCGCGTGTGTGCACACGCATACAAGGGCAGAACGGGGCAGACCCTTAGTAATGTTTAATACCGGTTGTTCTCAAACGTGCTAATTTGTAAATTGCTTAGCAGTGATACTGCTTACATGATGTGAATAATAACCACAAAGTTGTTTCAGTAAAATCATTCTTTAAGGAATTACAACACGATTAGTAACTGAGCAGTGTTTTCTTGCCTTTTAATTACTGCTTCATCCTGAGTAAAGGTTCCAGTTAGAGGTTTTTGAATGTTAATTACCACACTCTTATAGCCAAGACAACAGTGCATTTGACAAGACAGGTGACTGTGAAAATAGTGGCATCATTGAGAGCAGTGTGGCGCACAGAATAAACCGCATGGCGGTCACCTGTGAAGGTGGCAGCTCTGGCTGGAGCTGACCGCCTTGGAAGGGCCAGAAAGTACTTCGCCGGAGATCTTGAGCCTCCTGTGGGTTTACTGGTCCCTGTAAGCTGGGTTTAGGGAAACGTGCGTGCTGTTACAACTAACTGCAGGAAGATTTTTATAAGAAGTCATAAATTGCTGCTGAAACACTGCACAGAAGTGCTGTAAACGGTCATTTTAACGTCACTCCCTCTGCTAATGTGGGGTCCACATCCCCATAGGACCCTAGGTGGCACCTTCTGTCCCCTTTGTGAGGGACTGGTGTGAGCTGGGTGAGGAAAGTGGGTGTGACCTCTGCATCCATTCTCTGGAAGGTTCAGCGAGCTGTCACCTCCGTCGGATTCCTTTAACAAGTTGTGAGGTCCTCGAGGACGGATGCAGAGTCGGCAGATTCTGCCCCTTAGTCCTGGCACGTGGCCTGGCTTCGAGCTGAGGCCCTTGGGCTGAAGCAGGTGCTACCAGACAATAGGGCTGAGGTGGAGGAGGTGGGCTGACTGGGGCAGGTGGAGGCAGGGCCAGCTGGGTGCTGAGGAGGGTGCACGGGTGGTGTGGCTGGCAGAGAGAAAGCAAAGGCGGGCAGACCTGCTGCCGCCGAGTTAGTTCTGCCCAGTAAGGACACCACCCCCCTTGATTTTTAAGGCTGTAGATCTCAATGGGAGGAGACCACCCAGTTTTCTTCTGTTGTTGGATTTGAACTGCTGACCTTTCTGAGGAAGGGAGGAAAATTGAAATGGGTAGAGCATGTCGTTGGAGTCCTTGTATGTGTGAAAATGTTGGAATGGTTATATGTGTTCTTTATGATTTAAAAGTCACACACACACACGCTCTTGAGAGTTTGTGTGTGCAGGTGGGAGGAAGGCCTTTGGTGGCTGGGGATGGCGGCCTTTGATGCTTCACGGTGGTGAGGGACTTCAGCACAGTGGGCATACTGCAGGGTCTCTTCAGCGGAGTGGTTGACCTCTCGGAACCTCAGTCTTCCCGTCTGAGAAATGGGCGTTATAGTTGAAGCTCTGCATGAGGCCCTCTGCCTGTGCTCACCATCCCCCTAACCCTTGCTGACCTTTCACAGCCTCCGAGGTGGCTCCTGGCGGCACTGGCGACATGGCGGACACCCCCAGGGACGCTGGGCTCAAGCAGGCCCCTGCCCCCCGGAATGAGAAGGCGCCCGTTGACTTCGGCTACGTGGGCATTGACTCGATCCTGGAGCAGATGCGGAGAAAGGCCATGAAGCAGGGCTTCGAGTTCAACATCATGGTGGTCGGTGAGTCCCCCACCTCCAAGAGAGGCCCCCATGATGCACCCACGTGACCATGGGCGCACTCGGGCTCAGTCTTTCCATCTGTAGAATGGGTAACTGTCTGGCCTGCAGGAGGCTTTGTAGGGAACAGATGTGCCTGTGCGTGCCCCTGGGAGGGGTCCTCTCCTCCATCAGCTCCAGAGTGTCTCTGTCCCCACGTCAGGAATCCTGGTAAGCACCGTGCAGGCCCAGGGCTGTTGGTTCTGCTTCCACTCAGGGACCCTGTGTCCCCCCCAGGGCCTTGAAACTGTTGCCCTGAAATAATCTTTACAGTTTGAACTAAAAATACTCAGTCACGCACACACACACACTCACAAATAGACACATGCAAGTGCACACACAATCACACACACACACTCTGCCATCAAGTTGATGCCTCCCCGGTTCCCACATGGCCATCTTTGCAGAAGCAGACTGTATCGTCTTAGTCCCTTGGGGCAGCTGGTGAGGTCAGCCTGTCAACCTTTCCGTTAGCAGCTTGACCCGATCGATGGCCACCATGGAGCCTACAGAACAATGAGTCAGCTGTTGTTAAGGAAAAACACTGACTGGGCCGGGTGCTCTTTAAGATGTATCAACATGCGCTCAGACTGACAACAGCAACTTGAGAGAACAGGCAGAGGCTTGGGAGCAGTGGCTTCATGTCCGCAGGGGAGGGTGGCGCAGAAAAGCAGTAGGGGGACGACCCCAGGGCCCCTGGAAGGGCATCAGGGCCCCGAGCGGTCTGCGTGGACTGGATTGGCACGTGTGCGGCTGTGCGTGCCTTCAGCGACCTCCACGTCTCTCCCGCAGGGCAGAGCGGCTTGGGGAAATCCACCTTAATTAACACACTCTTCAAATCCAAGATCAGCCGGAAGTCAGTGCAGCCCCCCTCGGAGGAGCGTATCCCAAAGACCATCGAGATCAAGTCCATCACACATGGTGGGTGCCGGGGCATGGCAGGGGACAGGGAGGTGGGGGCACCCTGCTCGCCAGTCGGTCCCCAGGGGTCTCCTCTGGAGTCTGGTCCTTGGAGGCCCTCTGCCCAGCATCCCCGCCCTGTATTGTCACTGCCCACCGCTAGGTCCTCCTAACGCCCTTATTTGTTCTGGGTTGGCCAGTTGGCCCGAGGCCTTGTCCAGCAGACAGGACCTGCCCTCACTGGGTGTCTGTGAAAGGCCTGGCCCCCTCTGAGTGTGGTGATGGGGTGTGTTCTGCAGACATTGAGGAGAAGGGTGTGCGGATGAAGTTGACGGTGATTGACACGCCAGGCTTCGGGGATCACATCAACAATGAGAACTGGTGAGTCTGGGGGTGGTGGGTGACAGCCCCCAGGGAAGAGCACAGCCTTCCAGGGTCCTGAGACCCCACCTTCAGGACAGGCAGGTCCACGACTTGCCCTGACGCCACATGACCAGGAGCTCCAAAATTCTGGACCTCAGTCTCACTGCCCTGAGGATCCTGTCCCCCTGCCCCAGCCCCTGGAGTCAGGAGGACAGGCAGGTTGGGGGTTGAGGTGTGGGCTGGTAAGGCTGGGAGTGTGGACCAGAGAGAAGCTGTCCTGACGCGTTGTCCTGACCCTGTGCTGTCTGACCCCGTGCTGTCCTGACACATCGTCTTGACCCTGTGCTGTTCTGACGTGTCGTCCTGACCCCGTGCTGTCTGACCCCATATTGTCTGACCCCATGCTGTCCTGACACGTCGTCCTGACCCCGTGCTGTCCTGACCCCGTGCTGTCCTGACCCCATGCTGTCCTGACCCCATGCTGTCCCGACACGTCGTCCTGACCCCCATGCTGTCCTGACCCTGTGCTGTCTGACCCCGTACTGTTCTGACACGTCGTCCTGACCCCGTGCTGTCCTGACATGTCGTCCTGACCCCATACTGTTCTGACACATCATCCTGACCCCGTGCTGACTGACCCCGTACTGTTCTGACGTGTCGTCCTGACCCCGTGCTGTGTGACCCCATACTGTTCTGACACGTCGTCCTGACCCCCGTGCTGTTCTGACACGTCGTCCTGACCCCGTGCGGTCTTACCCTGTGCTGTTCTGACACGTCGTCCTGACCCCATGCGGTCTGACCCCGTGCTGTTCTGACACGTCGTCCTGACCCCGTGCTGTCCTGACACATCGTCCTGACCCCATGCTGTCTGACCCCGTGCTGTTCTGA